TTTATAAAAATACATAGGTGCATATACATGTAAAACAAATCACATATAATATATATATTTTCGTAAATGTCATATGTAATTTTTGTCGTAGTAATATGGATAAATTACTTTCATACGAAGAACATATCATGATAAGTCTATCATAATTACATATCAAATGTTCAAAATTATGTTATCTTTTAAATATTGTCTTTTAAATATGTTGTGTAGGATAACCCAACAAAAAAATAATAGAAAATAAACATAATCAAATTAGAAAACCTACAATCAAATAAATAAGAGCATTGAGTGGTTGAATATATAAATAAAGATGTTACATAAACATACATTTAAATCAAAATAAAAACTAACATTTGTCAACTTTGCTCAAACAAAAAAAACTATATCCATTTAATGAATTTTCTTTCTTCATTTAACATCATTCAACCATAGAAACTTGATGACAATTCTTCACTAACCTGCATCAAAATATTTTTTCTTGAAAAAGAAGAATCAGAAAGATATTCCAAGCAAAACATTGATGTTTGGAGAGTCACATTCAAGATTGAGTAATACACACAAATCACATATAAATATTAAATGAGAAACTGAATATAAAGAAAGAATAAAAAAGCTTCATTTGTTTTGGTTGAAAGAAAAAAACATATTACAATTACCATCGATGCGACATAACTCATTTTTTTCAAATCGTCATATTTGGATCGTGAATGCTTCAACTATATGAAAACTTTTGAATCACAATATTTTCAAATCCTTCTTACATGTAAGATTTTATATAACACAAAGACACTAAAGATTGACCTTTTATAGTAAACTTTTCACTAAATGCTAATTAAACATAATATAAGTTATAAAACTTTTGAGTGTTAAATCATAATTAAGAAAACTTTTGAGTTGCATTAGTTAAAAAAGGGGGTTTCAAATGAATGTGGTTTGAGGAAGTTAAAAAAAAGGGGTTTCAAATGCATGAGATTCAAGAAATAATGCTAGCTTTATATATATATATATATATATATATATATATATATATATATATATATATATATATATATAGAGAGAGAGAGAGAGAGAGAGAGAAAGAGAGAGAGAGTCAAGATCAAATAAGAATGAAATTTTTGGTAGGAAGGTAAGAAGTTTTTTTTCTACATATTTTTTTCGCGAATAAACAAAATGAATCATTAGATGATTTATTTGTAAGATGATTCACAAGAAAAAATTCTCAAAAAAACATCTCGATGATTCATTTATACAATGATTTTGTTGTTATTCACTAAAATTGTCATAAAAATAATTTTTTTTCTTAATTTACTTAAAAATGAATCATAAAGATGTTTTTTTGGGAATTTTTTCTTGTGAATCATCTTACAAATGAATCATATAGTGATTCATTTATTTTGTTCGTCAAAAAAATATGTAGAAAAAAAACTTCTTACCTTTCTACCAAAAAAAATTTCTTACCGGATCTATATATATATATATATATATATATATATATATATATATATATATATATATATATATATATATATATATATATATATATAAACAAATTATTGAAATGGTCACTACAGTTTGCCAAAATTTTACATTTGGTCTTTATCCTTTTTTTCCATTTAGACCATCCCTATGTTTTGATTAATCGACTATAGCCGTGTTTTTTTTTCAGTATTTATTTTATTTTTTTAATTAAAGAGGAACTCATACCATACTCTTTTTTCTCTCCGGTCTCTTTCTCTCTCCTCTTTCTCTACCTCCTTCGTGCATCACACGAACCCTACTCCAGGTTCATCCACCACATCCATGCCTGAAGCATCGATTGCTGCCGGCAATAACAGTTGTCTTCGGCGCCACCTACAAGTTTTCATCATGATCTTCGGCTTACCCTCCTACACCCTGTAAAGCAGATCCGATTGGTAGATCTTGACAAGAGGAGAGAGTTCGTGCATGTGAAGCTCACCATCGATCATCATGAGAAACCCATTCCTGATTTGTTCTGATTCTTGGGTTTATGGATTTGATTTCGGTCATTCCGATTTATTCTTTTTTTTTCTACCCTCTTTCTCGATCTTTCTCTCTTCTGCATCACCACTGATTTGATTCCTTTGTTTATAGATTTACAAGGATGTTTGGCTGGGATTTAATGGTCTTTGTGTTTGATTTCTTTGGTGGAGGTCTATTTTGGATTTAAGGTCCGATTTAGAAGGGTTCACTCCAATCTGACCAGATTGTAGAAACCCACGAATCGCTGACGGACCTCTCTCCGCTGCTTTACTCAACATCTCCATTAAATGATCACCAACACCATCGGATTACAGGTTTCAAGTTTTTGGAAGAAAAGAACGCAAATTTCACGTTGTTGGAACCCAAATTAAGGTTCGATTTTCGGAAGGTTCGATTTCTGGTTTGATTTTCAGAAGGGTTAGTTGATTTTCAGGGTTTTGGTTAGATTATGGTTTGATAATTGTTTAAGGTTCGCTTGTGGTGGTGTTGCAAGTTTCAAATTTATTTTCTGGTGACTTGTGGCTGACGGTGGCCGATGGCTAGTGGTGGGAGTGAGAGACGGAGTGGGAGCCGTATGGGGAGTGCAAGTGGGTCCTACTTGTCAAAAAATTACTTAATTCATTTTCTTTAATTGAAAAAAAAACTGAAAAATAAAATATTAGGGGCATTATAGTCAATTTACTATATGGCAGTGACTTACATTGTAACAAAATTAAAACCTAGGGACGGTCTGAGTAAAAAAAAAAAAAAAGGAAAATGACTTAGGTAAATAAGTTTTGAAATCGTTCAAAAATTATTGTAAAATTGTAAAAAATTACAAAGTAATTGCATATTGTAAAATTGACAATTATACCCTTGTGACCCTTTTGTCCGGTTTTTCTAAATTGAATTCTGATTCTACTAATCATGTCATATTTTGTAGGTACGGCTGATATATGTTGTGAAATTGAGCAGAATGAGAAAAACAAGTCGAACAGGTGATGAAGGGTAGCATGAGAAAAACAAGTCGATCAATTGTGCTTTTTGTCTTGGAAATTTTTGAGCTTGAGCTGGGGTTGAACGATTTACATGGAGAAGCGTTGAAGAAGTCGATCAATTAAGAAGGGCCGTATGATAAAGCTTAGTTAAACATACCAAGCCATCAAAGGAGACGAGAGGAAGAATGATGGACACGAAAAGAAGAATTCGTTCATAAATGAAGCCCTAATTCCATTTAGTTAAGAGGAGTATGCCAATTCAGCCATGTCACCACCCACCCTTATGTCATGCCACTCACATTTATGCCATGTCACCAAGTATTAGGCCACATCAGCATTTAACCTCCAACAAACGGTTACCAATGGGTGAGATTTGAACAAAAGATATACTTAGTTGGTGTTTTTTATACAAAACCTTTAGTTTGATGGTCTTTTTTGAACAGACAAAAGTTTGATGGTCTTTTTTGAACGTTTTTTAAACATTCTTACCCTTATAAGTCATTTTCCCCCAAAAAAAAAAAAAATAGAGACCAAACATAAAAAAAACATAAAAAATTTCGACAAATCGCACGATTTTGTAATTTGTTCTATATTTTGTTAAGACAAAATTGCAAACTTGGTCCCTGTGGTATGTAAAAAATTAGGACTTTGGTCCAAAATGTTTTGGAGTTGCACCACTGGTCCAAAAATTTTGAAACTTTTTATAATGACGGATTTGCCCTTGGTATTTCCCCTTTTCCATTTTTTAAAGGGTTAATGTCATAAAAGCCATTATTTATACACTCTAGTTTCGATTTAACCCCGATATTTTTTTGTTACTTATTTGTCATTACTTATGATGACTCTTTATGAAAAGTCAATGGTAGCCGGTGTGATCAGTTTAGCAGGTAACCCTCACTATTTACATAGCCAATATTTGTTATTTGCCCCCGAAACCTCTCATTCACTCTTTATTCTGTGTTCTTCCTCACGCATCACCCGTCTTCTTCTCCATGGATTTGTCTTCAACATCGTCTATCATCAAAATCGGTTCGCACCAAGTGTGATTGTGGTGATCCACTGCAATACTCAGTTTCAACAACCGATAAAAGCCCAGGAAGAAAGTTCAAGGCATGCCCTATCTATAAGGTAATAATCTGTGTATTTTGTTTTCCCATTTTGTTATATTTCAAAATGTATTAAATGAAGATTGATTTTGTTGGCGGGGTACCAAAAAAGGGTGTAAATATTTCAAGTGGCTTGACCAAGAGGAGTTGGAGTTTTATGCTAATGCAAGGGAACCTTATAACGGAATTGTTGCCAATGGTGTACTACAGTTGATCATGTTGCTGAAGTTTGTTTTGTTGATGATGGTGATTATTAGAGTAATTCTTATAATTGGCATTGTATTTTAATGCATTCCCATAGGCTAAGACAAATGTATTTTTTTGGTATTTTGGTAGGGATAAGGCATTGCAGTAAAAGTAGTTTATGTAAGGGTGGTGTAGGTTTGTTATGTTTGTTCATGTTTGTTTGATGTAACTGTAATTTCAGCTTGTAATGTTCATGTAAAACTGGAATGACAATGTAGTTTTGGTAATCCAATGCGATTTATGGTATGGTAATCTACTAAAACTTGCAATGACAAGTTAAGGACAATAAACCAAACTGGAATGACAATATACCAAGTAGAACATTAACTGGAATCACATAAAGGGGGTATTACAATTAGAATGATAATATACCAAACTAGAATGACAATAGTGATACCAAAATACTTGCATTCTTAAATAACATAAAAGGGGTATTACAATTAGAACCACACATTCAATTGTTCAACAATCTTACAAATGGCCATTCACTATCAATGTTCAAAAAGGCCTAATAGAATAGTAGATGTTGATATAGAATTGGATGGCTGTTACCAAAAGCTAATGCAAAGCAATGTTCACAAAAAGGGCAAGCAAAATACATAGTGCCCATGATACCTCCGCCTAAATACTCCTACTCCAAATTAATAGGTTTCTTCGTACTGGAACCCCCTCAATCCTTATCATAAACTGGTTTCTTCAGTTTCATCTTCACAATTCTCTCAAAAATCTTCTTTTTCCTAGGCCTCCTAACAGCTTGTGTTTCTTCAATGAACTCATTCTCCCCATCAGTTTCCTCATCATCTTCACTGACCCAAGCATTAGCATCTACACCTTCAACCTCATTAACATCAGGTATCACATCCACAAGGGGAACAAGGTTACCTTCAATCTCATTCACATGGGGTATCACATCCATAGGGTTACCTTCAATCTCATTCACATGGGGTATCACATCCATAAGGTTACCTTCAATCTCGTTCACATCCCATTCTAAGTCTGCTCCCAAGTGATCTTCAATCTCATTAGCATCTACATCCTATATCATATGATGCATTTATGAATTAAAACACAAATGAGGCATTTATAAGAAATTAAAAATAAATTAGAGTTTGGCATACCATTTCCACTGGTGACACAGGGTCAGACATCACATTTACCCTTTCCAAAGCCTGTGCAATCTCATGAGGTTCATAACCACATTCCTGCAAATTCAATACATCATAACCACATTCCTGAAACATTTCATCATCTTGGGTTTTCTGATAATGATCATCCTCTTGTACAACATCTTGAACATCTTCAGTTGCTTCAACGGTTGCTTCAAGATCTCCAGTTTCTTGGACATCTTCAGCCTGGGTACTTGCTTCAACTGTAGCTTGAGCCTGGGTACTTGCTTCAACAGTAGCTTGAGCCTGGGTACTTGCTTCAACAGTAGCTTGATTTGAGGATCCTTCTCCATCCCTATTTTCCTTCTTGCTTCTTTTAACTGTAAGCTTTCTTTTCACTGTAAGCTTAACTTTCCTTTGTTTAGAAGTAGTTCCCTCTCTCTCCCTATTTGGTATTCCAGTTCCCTCTGCAGCCCTGTTTGTTATTAAATTTCCATCCCTCCTTGGCCTTCCTGTCTTTTTAGGTGGCACAGACTCCCTCATCACTTGCTCATTCTTACAAGATTTCAAGTTATGTCCCAATTGTAAACATCTGCTACACCTAACAGTCCTACAAACTCTAGCTCTAACAGTTGGGAACTTGGAATCATTGTCCTCAGACACATGCCTTCTTCTATTGGTTTTTGGCCTACTAGGCATTCTGCTTATCAGTGGAGGTAATAGCTTTATATAGTCAGTGGGTGCCCACATGTTGCTTCCATTAACCGGTGATATATTTGTGGTATATGCAGGCACAAATTTCTCCTTATTGAACCAATTGCTTAGAAAATTAGTTGGATCCTGGTGAATGTAATTTATTGCTGCTTGACCATGCACACATGGTATTCCAGATATCTCCCATAGTCTACATGTGTAGTAGTGTTGTTCCAAATCCACTTTGTAAGCTGCATACCCATACTTTGTCTCAAATACATACCCCCCACACTTGCTATCACTTTCCAGCTCCTAGAAATAAAAGTTTAAAATAACAATTTAGAGTTTAGTACAAAGCACATTATATAGTTAATTATAAAGCACAACTTAATGGTATTTACAACATGGTATTTACCTCATTTCTTTTCCATACTCCTTCATTTTCTCTATGATACCTGGACAAGATTCAGTTCTCCATGTAGAAGCTTTATCAGCCAAAAAGTAAAACCTAGCCATGACATAGATTCTGATGTCGTCTAACATTGTTAGTAGTGGTTTTTTCCTAATATCTATGATCATGGAGTTGAAGGACTCAGAAATGCTATTCTCCACAGCCTCACATGCATACCCTTGTACAAAAATGCCCTACACCATGATGGTGGATTATTAGCCATCAACCAATCATATCCATTCGTGGTGATCTTCTTGATTTCTTCCATGTTAGCCATAAAATCCCCTTCACGTGAACTACTTGCAGCAGCCCAGAACAAGTTCTTCAACTCTAAACCAGTATGCATCTTCCTGAAGTTGGCATAAATGTGTCGTGCACAGTGCCTATGTTCAACATGTGGAAGGATAGCCTTCACAGATTCTAGAAGCCCTTGAAACAATAAAGATAACATTAAGCATTAATATAGTTTACTCAATATAAATGAATACATTAAAAAATTTGTAATGTATTCATGTTTACCTTGTGTTGATCTGAAATGACAACTAGACCCCTTCCACCATCAACACCCAAGTCATCAACCAAAAGTTGCAAAAACCAAGTCCAATTGTCTTTGTTCTCTACGTTTACTACAACCCATGCAATTGGATAGACGTGATTGTTAGCATCTCTTCCAATAGCAATCAAAATCTTCCCTTTGATTTGTCCCTTTAGGAAAAATCCATCTAATCCAATCACACGTCTGCACCCACTATTCCATTCATCTTTCAATGCCTTAAAACATACATAAAAACGTTGAAAATAGTTCTTGCCATCTGGATTTACTGTCACTCCTACTTTGCATATGCTTCCAGGGTTAGATCTAAGGATTTCATTGGCATAATCTCATACCTTAGCATAGTGTTCCTCTAGCTTACCTTCTATCATTTCCCTTGCCCTTACCCTAGCTCTATGACATTGCCCCTTTGACACTTTAACAAAGTATTTTGTAAGGACATCCTCCATCATCTCAGGCAATGTCATTTTGGGCTTCCTAATTATGTCCTTAATGTAGTGTTTTGCTAACCAATTACAACTAACCAAATGTCCAAAATTATAATTCCTTGCACAAAGATGTGTTTCAACCATAGATTTTATCTGAAAAGTACGTTCATTGTACTTCCATGAAGCATGGATCCTAAAAGGGCATGGTTTTTTTGCATCTTTTTTCCCACACCTAACAATTACCCTGCTTTTATCACTCTTCATGAACCAAAGTTGGTATACATTAGCTACAGCGTAGTTAATTAGTGCAAACCTTAACTGAGCAGGAGACTCGTACAACTCACCAACAGTAGGCTTCATTTTGTTCCACTTGACGGTAGGATCGTGCACCCTAAACTCGACACCCACTTCCAGGTCATATTCTTCAACGTCTTCATGCTCATACTCTACCTGGTGGATATCTTCAACATCAGCTTCATCGTTCCCTTCAAAATGACTTTTCTTCAACATTTTATCATCAAATAAAATGTTTAGAAAAGGGTCATCACACAAGTTACTTGTTGATTTGAAGTTATATGGTTCAACATCCAACATTCCTAAATCAAGAAGATCATCATCAGAGTCTTTGTCACGTACGTATCTGATCTTAGACTTGCTTGTCTTCTCTGTCGTCTTTGCTACTTTACTCTTCTTTCTCCGTGATGATTCTGCCATCATACCAACCCTAACTTGTACACTGCTACTTCAAACCCTATAAATCCTTCGAAACCCTCTTCCAAAACCCTCTTTTGACGAGATGGTATGAGGATAACAATCGTTTTGATCAAGGTGGTGGCTACTTCGCACCTTCCCAAGAATTAGTAATCGATTGAGAATTTGGCAACCGGCAAGGACTTGATTACCGGTTGGTAACCGGGTAATGGTTAATAAATGAAAAGTCTTCTCTTTAATGTTGGGAAATAAGTAACAAAAAAGAATATCGGGGTTAAATCGAAACAAGAGTGTATAATAATGGCTTTTAGGGCATTAAACCTTTTTTTAAAATTATTTTACCATTTTTCTAATTAAAAAAAAAGACAAAAAGAAACACCCCACCCCTACCCACCTACTCACTCCTTATCTAACATCTTATACCTTCTTCCACTTAATCAGATATGGGAACACCGTCTCCGGACACCACCACTGCCGTCGGACACCACCATCGCCGTTGGACACCACAAAACACTCATTTTTTCAGATCTTCAAGCTTAAAAGTGAACAAAAGATTTTTCTAAAAACCCTCATCCTTCTCCGGTTCGATTTCTAGCCGACGGCGGTGGTGGTTTCATGGTGGTATCAGACGATCACCTCCTTTCTTAGATCTACGTCGCCACCTCATATCGAAGCAGATGAAGACGTCGTCACCTCATATCGGAGCAAGGGTTTGCACACGTTTACAGATCTGCTGGTCCGCTCTCTTTTTCCCTCTCCGGCGATGTCGGCGCCTCCAAGATCTAGACGAGATTGAAACTAAGGTTTTCTCCAAGATCTGAATGGCGTTGTAATCCACCTTCTCCAGAGCTCCATCTCTCGACGAACACCAGCCAAACGCTGCCATGAATAGATGTCTCCGACAATGAACAAATATCTCTACGTGAAGAACAGATCTAAACAGAGAAGGGCGGCTAACATATCTGAACCGAGAACTCCGATCTAGGGTTTGCAAACCCTACACCGGTGAAAGTGAGAGCGAGATTCGGCGGTTGGCTGGTTGTAGATTCGGTGACGTTGCCGACCTACACTGGAGGTTGGAGAGGAAGTTGGTTCAGATCTACGACGACGTTGGTTTAAATCTACGTCGACGAGGAAGATTAGGGTTTTTCAGATCTGACGACGTAAAGCAAGGTGACGGAGGAGATCTGGAGTTGTTCGTGGTGAGCCGGGACATTCCGGCGACTGAGGTGTCTGTCAATGGTTGATTCTGGGCAGTTTCCGGCGGTGGATGTGGTGGTTTCCGACATGGTGATTTCCTTTCAAGCAATATTGAGAGAGAGAGAGAGAGAGAGAGAGAGAGAGAGAGGTGGGGTTTATATTTTGTTTTTTTTGTTATATTTTAATTAAATAAATAGTTAAGTAAATAAAAAGAAAAAGAAAAAAGAAAAAGGTAAGGGCATAATCATCATTTTGAAAAAGTTTAAAACAAATTAGACCAAAGTCACAACAAATGAAACTTTTCGGACCTGTGGTGCAACTTCAAAACATTTTGGACCTAAGTCCCAATTTGTGATATACCATAGGGACCAAATTTACAATTTTGTCTTTTTTTTAAAGATAAAAGGACAAGCTGAAACAAAACATATCCAAAGGACGTGGCACGCCACCCCTTAATTAACCGTCCCCTAAATCAACGGAAGAGAGCCTTTTCTTTTCATTTTGTTTATGTTAAGTTTTCTGGAGCTACAACTCAAACACCCATGAAATTCGATCGATCCGTGATATTTCTCGACTTCTTGCTTTTTCGTTTTCACGAAATAAGCAGTTGAACTCTCACTCTCTCAGGTACAGTTCGATTTCACTCTCTTCGTTTGCCTTCTGCTTGGCATTAATATGAAAATGAGCTTAATTTGATGAATTCAAATTAAAACAGTGCTCCATTCCCAGCTTCCGAATGTGTGTAGTTGCTATGTGTTTGGTGTTAGTAAATAGTAAGTATCTAGTGTTCAAGCTGAAATCTGAGTGTTAATCTGTCCTTAGCTTCTGTTAATTTCAGGTTAATCTTCTATTCATATGAAGCAGTAGTAGATGTACTTATAATCTTGAGCACACAAATTATCCTTAGTATTGGTGAGCACATATTCTAATAAGCACAAAAGTTAGAAGTATACATAAGGATCCATATTCTAATAATTGGGAACAAGGTTATGGATAATATAATAGATACATATGACATGTTGTGGTTGAACAATTTTTTTATGCTTCTAAGAGTTGTTTTGGTAAGTAAGATTGCATTGGCAATTTGGTCCAGTGTTTTCTGTTTTTTGGTTCCCTTAACTATCATCTTTGAATTTGAGCTTGAAGCCTCTATTAATTTTGTTCAAATAATTTGTTAACAAATAATTTAAATTGTTATTTCTTCATTTTTCTTCTATTAGATTTTTCATTTCAAGCGAAGAAATGGCTGGTGCTGGAAGCAGTAGCAACTGGTAAGATGTTAGCATCATAAATGCTTTTTCTATAAACATTTAACCTTTTTTATTTCCAGGAACTGGGCAAATTTAGTGAAGGGTAAGAATGGACCTCCAGATCATCCAACAAAGAGCTTTAAATTAGAGACTTAGGAGAGGTTGGAGGATGGACAAAACTGTATGAAGCACTAGCTTGGTGTGGAAATTTGTTTGGTGATATAGATTTTGTAGACTCAGAAAATAATGAATATACTAATGTGAGGGCTGAAACAGAGAAAATGTGGGAGGCTGCCAAAGCATATGACAACCTGGCTGTAAAGGCCAAAGCACAAAACCGAATGAGTCGTGAGTATAACAAATATTCGGAGCTTGCAAAGAAACTTAGAATTGGAGCACTAAATCAACAAAAGAAAGACAGCATACGTTTATTTGATAAACGGTATGTTTCCATATTCTCAAGGCATAGTTTATTTTTATTTTTTTGGTAACAAATAATTAAAACTGTTATTTGGTTTTGTTTGAGATTGTAGACAGAAAGAATGTAAAACTGTATTTGAACTTAATTATCATGATCAGCACCAACCTGAGGCATACAATATGCTTGACATACATCTTTGGATTGCTTCTCAAATCACAAGTAAGTTTGTTGCCTGTTTCAGCTTTTTTTTATTTTTATTTTTTTCCTAATATATTCATTTTTATGATGAAGGTATACAAAAGCTTAAGTTGATACCAGGTTATGGGAAAACAACAGGAGACTGTGTCTTGAACCCAATGGTACATATAATATAAGTGAAATTATATTTTAATTAAAGTATTTGTGTATTTACAATTTACAATGTGGTTTTGTGTTATAGTTTATTAAAATGCTCGAGAAGAAAGGGATTCATTACGACTTTGACGAGAAGAACCCTGTGTATTGATTATTGATGTTAAGGACATAGTGTCACATGATGATTCAATCACCGTGTGCCACTTAGCGTTTCTTCAACCAAGTCAGGCTTGGAACACTTCCTTACGATGTACTAACGACTTTAATAGCAAGAGATGCAATAAGGAATGCTACGAAGTAAGAAAGAAAACTTCTATTATAGAGGTGACTACTTTACAAGGCAATTTTTCCAATGATTCCTACAAATGAGACATTCTTTCTATTTATAGGTACCTTACACCTCCTCAAATGGAAGTTTCTAGGTCCTCATCATTCTTGACTAATCTAGACTCTTCTTATTATAATTATATACATGGCCTTTACAAAACTCTAGAATATGGTATACATGTCTACGATGTTCTAGAAATCTCTAGGTTGTCCCGACATTATCCAAATCGTTCTTGTATGATCTAGCGTATTCTATCTAAAGTCTTCCGGGTCTTCTAGCTTTGTCTAGTGCCCTCTTGATTATTACAGATCGTTCTCCTTTGTTCCACAGACATCTATAATATTCTAGCATCTTTCAGGGTCTCGTAAAGCATTCTTGATCTCTCCGGAGACTTCTCGAGTATACTTGATCGTTCCGGAATTCTCTAGACGATTGTGAAATTTTCCAGAAACTTGGTTTGTGACAATAGGGACTAATTTCAAATTAGGTTAATTTTCTGTTTTTATGCTTTTTTATTTTTATTATTATTATTATTTTTATTTTTTTGCAACAATCATTTGGCTATTCACTAGTAGTATTAACATCACACGTGGTATCAACCATCAGAACATTGACTTTAACCTTTGCAACATGCATTTGGTGGAAAATATTTTTATGTTTGAAAAAAATACTTATTAAACAATATATCAGATTTTTGTCGCTATGAAATTGCAAAAAAAGACATGCAAATGTATATAATATAAAAGATGTAGAATTTTTTTTAAAATCGAAGATGACTAGAATAATTAAATACAAAAAAAGGTAGGAAATTTAAGAAACTTGCTATTAATCAAGTCACAATGAATCTTTTCAGTTATACAACAATTGAAGAATAATTTTTAGGTTGACCTTATATTTATATGTAAATATAAATAAAACCATGTGTTTAGAGGTTACGCAAAAAAACAGAAAAATGATTTTTTTTCGTATTTAGCTTATTTCGTATATAAATCAAGCCGAACATTTAAACACCTCTTCTAGTAGAAAGTTTGTTTATGTTAATTTTTTAGAATAAATGAACGAACTTTATAAAAAATATTGTGTGTTTTATAAACGAAAATACACACAAACAATTGTAACACATGATGCAGGTTTTTATTAAGTTTTATATTATATAAGAATATTAAATGGTGACACTAATTATGATTAGGGATGGAGAGAGGTCAGACTTGTCCATCTGTGTCACCGTTCCCGTGTTTCTTACTTCATCCCATCTCCGGCTACGTCCCGCCGGCCGGGTATTGGGAACCAAATCCCCTCCCATTTGGAAATTAAGCTTATCCCTAGTCCGAACTGGCACGTCCCCGGCCCATCGGCACAAACAAACTCAACACACAACTACAAACGGTATGGGCTTTTCTGAATACTATAAGATCAAAATGTATAATGAACTAACCTAGCTTTACCTCACCGACTAACTCTTTAGCACGACATTCTTGTTGGGCGAGAGTAAGTTATGAAATCCATTTGCAACCTTAGATTTGTAATGAACTTCTTCATCATAGTTTTTGTTCGAGTCTCTCTCTCTCTCTTTCTTTCTCTCATACCATACCATTTTCCCGAATGGCCCCTGTGGTCCTTCTAGAATAATCCTGCAATATCTTTGTTTTGTTTGTTAGTTGCTTTATTAATTCTAATTATGTATCGATAGGAAAGACGTAACATGACCAAAGGTTTGATGGGTTTTGCATGTAATAATGCAAAATAATCCTTATACTCTTAAGGGTACATGCTACCTATTAGATCTATTTCATAACACTATTGAAACAACAAAACTAATAAACCCTACAAGAAATCAAAATTCATAGTAAAAGGGTTACATACATCTGATTTGTTATTGCAAACAAATCCTTTAATTCCAACTAGATCAAATCTGAAGTCTCTCTGAAAACAAGCTCCAATTGTGTGCGAGCCTCTAATAGTTCACACCCACAACGCAAGAATCCTAGAAGGATTAGGAGAGAGGGGAGAATGGAGCAGAATTTCGGATCTGGTATGAGGAACAAGTGGCTGAAAATTCTCAGGTATAAGGCCTTATTTATAGCTAATTAGGAAACTCTAGAAACCCTAATTTGAAAATAAAATAATATTATTTCAAATAAGGCAGTTATCTAGTCCCTTAATTAATCAAGTGGAGGCTTCCAGAAACCCTAAGAGGGTCTCCTAAAACCGTCCACACGAGGAAGGTTCTAGAACCTCTCCTTTGCTCAACTTTTGAACAATTACAAATATATTCCTTCAACCTTTAATTAATTCTAATTAACCCATAATTAATTCCAAAATTAATTCTAAATTAATTATTACTATTTCTAATCAATATATTAATCATATAATATATTAATAAATCATTTATCTCTCTCCTACAATCAATCCAATGTAATTTCTTGGTTATGAGTGCTACCCAAAATGAACTTTACTTTTATTCATCAACATTATACTAATTTAGTTAGGACCTTAGACACCTTAATCCAACAGTCTCCCACTTGGATAAATCGCTAACTACAATTGCAAGTACAACTTCGAATAACCAATAAAGAGTGTTTTCAAAGACACTTCCAGACTCTGATTAGACGTTGGCACTAAGATAAGTGATCATCTATTCCTTCGTTCTTTAAGATATTGTATGACCACGAGACATGGATACAAATCAATCTTATTGTCCAAGATTATGTTTCCCGATTTTAGATTTATGATGAATGGATTCATACTACTAATTGAACACATCAATTTAGTATGGGCAAGGTCCTACACATAAATGTCAACATAAAATCATCGAGGGGCCCAAAGATATTACTTTTCCTGTTAATTCAAAAGGAACGAATAAACTTTGACTATATAATCATACAAATTTACTTATCAAATCATACATGGAATTACACTTTTTAACATCCAGTTATAAGATGCATTGGAGTGAACCAATGTACAACTGATTCGTAAAACATGACTTATATATCTATTTTTTAAGAATAGAAGATTCTATTATCTTAGAATTACTCGTGATTAAATCCATAAAGTAATCTCTAAGCGCGGGTTTAACTAATACTCAAAATCTCCATTTTCTAAGTACTCGTGAAATTTTCAGCAATCCTGTAACGACCCAATTTTCAAAGGTAAAAATTTCATCTCTAATATAGCTAAAACATTGATACCATTTATTTCAAACATTTCAAATAATCATTAAGTAAAACATTTATAAGAGTTCATCCCAAAATCACTCATTGCGGAAATTAAAAGGTGTGTGCACTGCAATTAATCCGAGCTCTTCATTTCCAAATCGATGATACCTGAAACCATAAATAAAACTGTAAGCACGAAGCTTAGTGAGTTCCCTAGAGCATACCCCACACACAATCCACATAACACATACCATATTAGCTATGAAAGCTACATATATCACACAAACCATGCATATAGACATGTAGGGATTCCGTGGAAACCTTCCAAGGTCTTACACCAAATGCCACGGGAAACCCCCATGTGGTCTTGACTAGCCGCCACTGGAACCCCCACGTGGTCTTGGCTAATTGTCACGGGAACCCCCACACGGTCTACTCTACCAAATACAAATTATGCAAAATAGACGGACAAACGTACTGGGATGCCATGGAAACCTTCCAGGGTCTTATACCATGTGCCATGGGAACCGCCACATGGTCACAATCCACTGCCACGAGAACCTCCCAGGGTCTTCCATGCAAGCATCACAAAGACAACTAGCATATCAAATACCACACAATCAACTAGTATACCACATATAACTAAATGCCATGGGAACCCCCACATGGTCACATACATAATACATAACGTATCGATAACACATTCACAATAATCAGCACAACTAAATAAATGGGCCGGCCTTGGTGCCTTAGACTCATTGGTATGGTGAGAAGACTCACCTCGCACTGCAGAAGCTTCCCGCATGAATTCCTTAGCTGCTGCCCCGCCAGCTTCCCGAGCTGTCACTACCAACCAATATACCCAATTAGCAATTGGGCCCCATACCATAATCCCTAATCCATGCATGGGTAAAATGGCCATTCTACCCCTGGCCCAATACGATCCAAAACTAAGGCCCAAACCCAAAACAAATGCCCAACACTATGTAGACTTTCCAAGCCCACTAGTGGTCCACTAAAGGCCCAATTTGCTAAATTGGGCCCAATCCCTCTAATGGGCCTTACCCTAAGCCCAAACATATCCTTGGCCCAAAACATCTGACTTCTGATGGTCCACTAAGGCCCAAAGTCCACTGCTTGGCCCAACCCGGGGCCCAAAACACTACAAGCCTATAACTGATGAGTATGTGGGGCGTACTCTTATGTACGCTAAGCGTACTGGCTGAAGGTGGTGTACGCTGCACGTACCTGCATGTACGCCCAGCGTACTCCTATGTTAAGCTACTTTTCCGTTAAGTGCTTAATACTTCGTTCCAGAAGCTACAAATACAGATCCTAGTCCCCCTCAACGTCTTAATCCATAAAGTTGATGACTTGGTGGCTAGTGTAATGCCCGTGTTTCTAGGCTAGGCATTAATATTGACATTATAGTCTAGGTTAACCTTTGTAACTCGTTTTGAAGAAATAAAAAGGAATTATGTGAATATTATGTGAATTATGTGTTTTATGCTTAATTATTAGGGCTTAATTAATTAAGAATAAAAATGAGCGTCAAAATTAAATTTTAGATAAAGCCGATATCTATTAAGAAACTTGTAGTGGGCGTGACAAGGATTACGGATATATAAAGAATGCCGAAATCCAAGTTATAACGAAGAAGTTATGACC